TTATTATTCTTTATTTTTATCAATTTTTTTGCTATAAATGTCTTTTCCTAACAAATATGACATTAAATACCTTTTCTTAAATATTTAGATATTCACATCCTTCTTTTTTGAAGAGAATAATTCTTCAGCTTATTGGGTTATTCATCATAGTGATTTTTAGATGTCTCTATTTAAAGTTTTCTGTCACATACATATTCTTTTCTCTCAGCCCAAACCATGGCTAGCTATTTTGTTTTTATGATATCTTTTGAGTAGAAATATTTAGTGTTATGAGGTTCACTTTATCAATTTTTAATGTTTTTTTTTCATATCTTGTCAAAATCTTTACCTGTTTCAAAATCCTGAACAAAATCCTGAAGCTTTTTAATTGTTAGCTTTTATGTTTTATGTTTAGGTCTATAATTATCTTTTATTAAGGTTTTCTATATTAAATGAAGTCAAAGTTCATATTGTTTTCCATGTAGATATCATTATTGTTTCAGCATAATTTATTAAAAAGTCCTTATTCACTGAATTTTCTTGATGCTTTTGTCAGAAACAGGAAAGATTGTATATGATTGGCTCTATGTCTAGGCTTCTTTTTCTGTTCCACTGATCTACCTTACCATCCTTATGCAAATATTGTATTGTTATTTTTATTATGTCTTTATGGTATGACTTGAAATCATGTAATGTGAGTAGTTGAGAGCCATTCGTGGGCTCTGTGTAGACTATATTGGCATTGTACCATAATTAATAGGAGAATCTGGTGTCTGGGAACTTGCAGTAGACATTTCCTCTGGCTGACTGCCCAAACACATGTGAGCCCTATTCAAGCTCTGCCAAAGGTCCTACCCAGCACCAGAGATGGGGTGACTTACTATAGCCGCATAGCCCCTCTAACATGGTTGTGACCTGCCAAGATACCAGTCAACTTGCTGATTGCAAGACATCATGAAGCAAGACTTCACCCTGAAACCTTATCCCTGCCTTTGATGTACCCCTTTAAATAAACCACAAGAGCCATTTTCTAATTGTCTACCTCCAGCTCTCTGGACTGAACCCATCAGGTGCTCCATACTTTAAAACTAATTCCAACTTTGTCTTTTGTTCTTCACTAATTTTTTCTGACTTTAAATTCTTAAGAGGCTTATCCTTCCAAGCAGGCAAGAGTTCTCTGGCAGGGTGCTGGCCACCCCGCGATATTGAAATCACGTGATATAAGTTCTCCAACTTTGTCCTTTTCAAATTGCATTGTCTACTCTAAGCCCTTTCCAAATTATTGATTAGCCTGTGAATTTTTACCAACCAAAATATGTCTTTTTAGGAGTTCATTGAATTTGGGAGATTGACAGTATCAATTCTTATTTACTTATTTGGGTCATCTTTTTATAGTTTTCAATAGGGATTTTGCTATATTTTTTTAAAAAATTCATTCCACATATTTTTTGATGCTAATGTAAATATTTTAATATGTGATAATTTTTCTTTTTAATATATAAAAGTACAATTGATTTTTGTTACTAACTTTGCTGCCTTGACAAACTTGTTTATTTCATTTATGAGTTTGTCAGTTTGTTTAGATTTTTAAGGTGTGTCATCATGTCTTCTACGAATAGACTATTCTACTTTTACTTTTTGAATGTTTTCTCTTTATATATTACATGGATAGGACCTCTAGTATGACCTCAAAAATAAATGGTGAAAGAGGACATAACTGTCTTATTCCTTATCTCATGTGATAAACGTTCTGTGTTTGTGCCATTTTTGCATGTGCCACTTGTAATATTGATTTTCTTTCTATTCCTAGTTTATTGAGAATTTTTGTCATGAAAATATATTGAATTTTATAAGTACCTTTTTTTTTTAACCTATTGAAACAATACCACTCTGTGTCTTTTTTTTGTTAGTAGATTACATTTGCCAATAGTTTATTAGGATTTTTATGTCTTTGTTCACAAGGGCAATGATGCATAATTAATTAATTAGTTAATTAATTTTCGTTGTCACTGTCTTCCCCCTCCTTCTTCTAATTCTTCTATTTGTACTATACTTATTAGAACAAATAAAAAATAGGCAAAAAATTGATAAGTTGTACATGTCCTTATAAGTTTTTGATACCAGGGTTATACCAGCTTCATTAAAGTAGGAAATGCTCTCAGTCTCTGTGAAAAACATTATGTAATATAATTTCTTCCTCAAATGCTTGGTGAAATTCACCAGAAAAGTTATTTAGGCCTGAGATTTTTATTGTGTAAATTTTTCATTATATAAATCCATTTTTAAAATAATCAACTCAATTATTTTAATAAATATAAGACAACTTGTGCCAGTTTTTGAAAGCTATGTTTTTCAGGAGTTTGTCAGTTTCCTCAGTGTTGTCAGACTTATTGGCATAAAAATATAATGACTTTTGTCTACCCTTTTAATATAGAGTCTGTAGTAGTGGAAAATGAACAATTGAGGAAAACAGTGGCATTCAGCTGTGAAAGATACAAGTGATAATCTGAACAGAAGAATAATAATACTTAAGGTGATTAAAGTACATCACAAAACAATATTTTATAAAGATACATAACTTGCATAGCTATCAACTATGTAATAGTTGACAATATGAATAGATTGGCAATTTTCATTTCTGTTATTAGTAAATTCTAATTTTTCTTTATTTCTTCATCAGTCTTGCCTAAGAATTTAATCAATTTTATTATTCTCTTCAGAGAACCTGTGTTTGGCATTAATGTTTTGGCATTAATATTCATCTTTTTAAAAAATTTAATTATTTCTGCTTTTATCTTTTCCTTCTGCTTTCTTTGGGTTAATATCTCTTTTCATAGCTATTTGAAGTAGAAGATTAAAACATTAATTTTAAGGCTTTATCCATTTTAAGGTTTTCTTTTTAAATACTTAGGGATATAAATTTCTTTCTGCCAATGCTTTGTTTCCACATAGTTTTTTTTTTTTCTTCTTTTTTCTTTTTTGGTACTGGGGAGTGAACTCAGGGGTGCTTGACCATTAAGCCACATCCCCATCCCTTTTTTGTATTTTATTTAGAGACAGGGTCTCACTGAGTTGCTTAAGTGCCTCGCTTTTGCTAAGGCTGACTTTGAACTTGTGATCCTTCCGTCTCAGCCTCTATAGCCACTGGGATTACAGGCATGTGCCACCATGCCTGGCTCCACATAGGTTTTGATATGTTGTTAGATTCTCTTCAGTTGTTGTCTTTTGGATGCTCCCATGATTTCTCTTCTTCTTGTTTTTTTTTTTCTTAATGACGGGGCTGCTGGGGATTGAACGCAAGGCTCATGCATGCTAAATACACCAAAAATATGTTTCTTGGACTTGGTTGAGGGAAAGATGTCTTAGCTAAATATAGGGCTCTTGGGTTGTATGCGTTTATTCCTGAAGATATTCCAGTGGTTTCAGGTTCCATTGTTACATGTCAGAAATCTTAGGTCACTCTGATTCTTTCTCCTTTGTCAATAAATTATTTTTTGATCTGGAAGCCTGAAAGATTTTCTGTTTCTTTCTTTTTTAATTTAGAAACTGGAACCGTTAGTATCTGCCTAGACGTGTGAAGTGTTTTCATCAATTCAACAAGCCTATTCAAGTTGCAAACTCTGGTTGAGAACCAGTTAGATATTCTTTTATGGGTTGTTTAATTATTACCTTTTCTCTAATTGCTTACATATCTCTACTTGAATTTCTATTCTTTGCTGCCTTGGGATCTATCTTCCAAATCTCTTCTTTCATACTTATCATTACTTATTACTTCTCTACATTTTTTTCTGTACTACTTGCACTTCATTTCAGTCTCAGTAGTGGCCATCTATTTAGTTGACAGCTATGCAAGTTATGTGTCTTATCTATAAAATATTGTTTTGTGATATACTTTAATCACGTTAATCTAAACAGAAGAATAATAATGCTTATCACTTGTATCTTTCACAGCTGAATGCCACTTGTTGATGGGTGTTCTTTTAGGCTGACCCTTCATATATATGGTTTTTTTTCCATTGTTACTTTGTGGAATCTCAGGTCTAGTATTGGAGAGAAGCTTGTGTTTCTCAAACCAATAGCATGGAAGCACACTAGCCACCATCTGCTGCAGAGAACCTAGGGCAGACATGCACTCTTTTGTAACTTCTTGGCCTCTTGAGTGCTATTGAGAACAGGCACACTCATGTGGGGCTGCTGTCAACATCCTCATCCCTGTTCTGATTCCATTACCACCAGGGGACCTCATGGTGAATCACATGGGCTGAACTTTGTCTAGGGCTTGTCTCTTTGTAGTCCTTACACCAGTGGCTTTAGTGTTTTATTTGCCTTTGAGGGAGGGAGCCCTGCACTCTGGAGTTACCATAGGTCCTAACTGATGCCTCCTCTCCATCAAGCCACTCGTAAGCCACAGCAAGGAGGGCTGTAACCAGGAAAGGAAGCTGCATTGGGGTTTTTAGAGGGTCAGAACATGTTTTGTTACTATTAATAATACTCTTAAATGAATGAATTAATATGAAAAAAAAAACAGTTTTATTATCTTCCATGATTCCTTATTTATTATTTTTGTGCTGGGCATTTAATCCAGGGTGCTTCACTCCTGAGCTGCGTCGCCAGCCCTTTTTATTTTTTTATTTTGAGACAGGGCTTGCCAACTTGCCAAGTTGGTGGTCTCGAACTTGTGATCCTCCTATCTCATCCTCCTGAGTCTTTAGAATTATAGGTGTTCTCTTTTTATTGAAGTTTATTGGCTGATAACAGTTTAGTATTTTTAATGCTTTTTTTATTTGCTTATACAAATGAAAGCTTAGTAAAGTTTTCTCAGAGATGATCTATAGTTCATAGATGGAGATTATTTCTTGTGAAATAGCTAAGAGTGACCTTTGTTATTAAAATAGATAAAATAAAATCCTAAAACTGGTAAGTACTTTTAAAATATACTGAAGTATTTATTATTTACACTATTTTACTTTTTCTTTTGCCTTTAGGTAGGCAGCTCATATTTTTTTATTCTGTGTTTCTAGGTTAGCATGGCCTCACTGAAAGAACTAGACCAAAGACTCTTTGAAAATTACATTGAGCTGAAAGCAGATCCAATCGTTGGCTCCTTGGAACCTGGAATTTATGCAGGCTATTTTGACTGGAAAGATTGCCTACCTCCAACAGGTAAGTAAACACAGTAACTGAAGTTTTAAAAGTAATTGAGTGCATCTATGCTAATAGTAGATATAGATGTGCTTTTGTCAATTAATATATGCTTAGAATGCTTTTCTCTTTATTCAAATTTTTTTTCATTCTTACTGAGGGTGGGAGATGAGTTTTATTTCAACTTATTAGCTCAAACCCATTTTTTTTGATAGTTTGGAATTTAGTACACTTTTTTTTTTTTTGGCAGTGCTGATTGAACTCAGACTCATGCATGCTAGCAAGTGCTCTACTGCTGAGCTATACCCCAGTCCATTTTTTTTATTATTAATGCTCTATGGGGGCTGGGGTTGTGGCTTAGTGGTGGAGTGCTTTCCTAGCATGTGTGAGGCACTGAGAAAATTAATTTACCTTATTTATAATCATTGAACATTCTAATAATACATACTTGTTCTCTATCATACTTGTTTTTTGATAGATACAATAGAGTGACTATGGGTGACATTTTCATGCAGTGACCTTGTGACCATCATCAAAAAAGTTATTTAAGAAAACTAGTCAGTTCTGTTTAAGACCTCATTATTGATGCTAAAAAAGTGAATAGAAGGAAAATGTGTAGGACTAAGATTATTCTAGTAATTCAGCAAAGAAAATTTAGCTACATAAGGATGACTGACATATACCACTGTTATCTTTGTGATTTTATTTGAAAATTGCTTAAATCACTTTATAATATATGTCTTAAAAATCATTATTGCTGTTTGAATCAAATAAATTTTTTGATTGATCAAATAGTTGTTTCCTTTTACAAAATAATGTGGGATACATAAAACCAAGTTATCTATTAACATTTTTTATAGAAGTGGTCTTATATAGAAATGTCATGCTTGTACTAGACATATATAGAAATGTCATGCTTGTACTATACATCTATGTATGTATATCCAAAAAGAACCCATGTAACATGGGTTCTTTTTGGATATACATACATAGATGTAATAGTGAATTATTAACAAGTTTGGCTTAATCTTTGTTCTTTTAATTAATCACTGTATTTGTCTTTTGTTTTCTTATTATGTAATGATTTCATTAGATGGTAATAAAATGTGTTCATATGTATTGATACCAAAAACAATCATAAATAATATTGTATGTGACCACAGTAACTTAGTTTTCTGAAATTATGATCATTGTAGTTATATCCTTATACCTTCATCTTGCCATCTTGATCTTTTTCCCTGTAATCTCCATTACTTTTCTGTAGTCATACTTTGTGTGCCCCAAATGGATTACAGTTCATACTCAAAACTATTTCCTTTTTTTAAAGTCTAAATCAGATCCAGTTAAAATCTTGTTTATAATTTTTTCAGTATTTTCCCATCATACACTCAGCTTCATGAAGCTTTGATATGTGGGCTTCTGCCCCTATATCGTAGCACCTCACCTCTGTCCAGCTGCCTCTACCTCTACCTTTTTGAAAATCATATCCCTCTGAAATGTAAATTGGATCCTTTCCATCCCCTAATCTAAACTCTTAAGCAGTGCCAAGGCCCTGTATATACTCACCTATGCTTGCCATATGCCCTTCGTCTTTCCATGTACCTCCAGCAGGCAACAAGCATCAAAGCCCTGTGTCCACTCCCTTCCCTCTAGCTTCACTCTCTATCCTGCTTACTCCAGTCCTTCCCTGATTTCCTAGATGATTCCTCCTCCTGGAAGCTCTGCCTGACCCCCTTCTACATGTCCTTAGTTGAAGTTGGCATACCTCTAACCTTGTGCTTCTAGAGCAGTTTCCTGTTCTTAGAGTGCTGTATATGTGGGAATTATTTATTATCTTGTCCTTACTGAATACCCTTAGTGCAGGGATCATTTTCACATCTGAGCTCCCAGTGTTTAGCACACAAGATGTTCAGTGTGTGTGTGTGTGTTGAGTGAATGAAGTTTATTAATATGCAGTCTTTGTACATAAGTGTGTTACTCCTCAGTTTATCTTACAATTGTTTGCTATATGGTTTTGCTGTGATTTTTCTAAAATTTTTCTTCAGTAGTAAAGTACATCATACAGTATTCATTTCCATGATTATGCTTATTCACTTTTTGATAAATTATACCCAAGAGATTTTCATACTTATTGAAGTGCATTGAAATGAATGTTGTAAATGCTCATTTTCTTGTCTTTTGTTAATTCTCACATGACAGCTGTATGTACTCCCTAAATTTTGGGCAGTTGCATTTTAAACAATCAAGTATATCTAACACATCAGCAATTCTATGTAGCATCACTATGTAAAAGTAATATATTGTTCAGTGAAAGTGTAAACGAGTTTTGTTAAAATTCATATTTCCTTCAATGAGTAACCTATACTAGATATTAAAAGTTAGCACCCAAACAGTTCTTAACCTTATTTTGTGTATGTCCAAGGTGATTAATTTGCTTCAATATTTCTGTGGTGATAGGAACACTCATGACACAACTAATTCCTCCATTACTGCAACAAGTTGGAATTGAGGATCTTACGTCTTCATCAAAAGGTCTAATTGTTATAGAGAAACAGAATTTACTTGCTGCCAATGTGGAAGATGTCTGTTTTTCCTTGATTGGCCCTTTATCATACTTGCCGCTTCTCTTAAAAAACATCAACAGAAGTGCACAGTTCCTCTTGGGGTAGAACATAGATATTCTTTCTCATCATTTTGCCTCTTTAAGAGGTATCTTTGGGAAGGAGACTTCCATGAAGTTTTGTACTTCTTGAAGGGCTTTGTTGGGTCGCAGTGCTGGCCATGTGGGTTCTGTGACAGCACTTTAGTGAAAATTAACAAGAGGCAAGGAGTGTGTGAGTGGCAATATCAGGCTAAGAGGGATCTTAGGTGTCCATTGTGTCTAGTTGGATAATAAGACATTTGATGTCCAAGTCCCACATTGTAACATATTTATTTCATATACCCAAAGTCTATTATCTGTTGTCTTCATGGTTTTCAACCATGTGAAGTCTAAAAATGTAATAGTTTCTATTTTTTTTTTCTCTATACAAAATTAAAATTCTGCTGGCTAAATGAGTAACTGGCATGGCTTTTTTTTTTTTTTAAACCCAGCTCAGTTTTTGTTGTTGTTTTTTAGAAAGACAAACTATTTCATAAGCAAATGGCACATGGGACCCTAATGTCAGCAATTTATATGCTCTCTCTGATTCCAAAAGCATTTAAGAAGTAGTCCATGTTTGTTTCACTTTTATAAACTGTATTTAGTTCTGTTTTTTGTGTAGTTTTGACTTCATGAGTACACCCGAACCTCAGTCTTGCATAGTCATCTAGTGATTTTTAGTTTGTTTAAAGTTGACTTGAGCCTTGTAAAGTGAACAGTCAAAAGTTTAACTATTAATCTTCTAAAATAATTTCAATTCACAACTTTAATATTTCTTTAGAGTTTTAATCTCCAGAGCCTGAATTTTAAAATCATGTAATTATTTATTGCTGTAGTTAGCATTAAATTTAGTTTTCAATACTCTATGTAGTGATTAAAAAGAAATCCAGTTGATTAATTTCATGATTCAAGAAAAAATATCCGTTAAAGCCATACGTGTGCTTTTTAACCTGGCGGTTGGATATTTAAATTGTTGTCACCTCTTTATTTGTTATGTCAGTAGAGATCATTCTGGCTAGTTCTGAGTCATATAACTGACTGTTCTTAAGATTTTAATTGTTCTGTCATCCATAATTATCAAGAGCGACAGGATTTGCATTCTATAAATTTGAGAATGTTATTGAATTCCATTTTCATATACACATGGGAGTTCATATCTTTATAGTATATTTAAAAATCTTTCTTTTAAATTTTCTCTTAAATACTGGTTTTAGCTATCTTTTCTCTCCAAAAGGCATATAAGTTTAAATTTATATTCATTCATTAAAGGCATTTAAAAAATGAATTTAAACTTAATTATTTTATGTAGTAAAACACCTAATTGAATTTTAATTCAAGTGCTTTTTAATTAATTATAATAATTGAAATTATAATGGGAAGGGGAAGATGGTTTATGTAATTTGTGACATGAATACATCTGAACATTCTAAAAATAATATCATAGTTGACTGCTTACATAAATGGTGCATATAACCAGAGTCGAATAATTTCCCATACATTAGTAATATGTCAGATCACAGTCCCTGTGCTGACCAGTTTCTTTAGTGAGCAAGAGTTATTAGTTGTCTGTTGTCAAAGCAGTGTGCTAGGCAGCATATCTAAGCAAGGCAGAGAGAGAATGTAAATCGTGGGAGACAAAGGCAAATGCATATTTCTTATATGTATGTTTGTTTTATTCAAAACAATTTTAGTTTTAAGATTTTTGCTTTTCAGAAATATCTTGCAAATATTTTAAATAAATTCTGTAAGAGACATTGTATAATTAGGTTATTGCCTGCATCTAATGACTCAAATTAAAAGCTTGGGTCTGGTTTAGAATTTCTAGAGAATAAGAAAAACACTGGAAGAACAGAGATAAGGAAAAAATGGATATTTGGTTAATTTTTCAAAAAACTTTAAACTAGCAGGCAATGTCAAATTTTGGTCTTGCTCTCTGAGAAAATTGATCATTAAAATGTTGTGGCTCCATATAAAATAATCATATATTATATTTGTGATATGTTTATGTGAATCATATACACACTTACACATTTGGCCACTGTATCTGCAGGTTATGCATCTGTGGATTCAACCAATCACAAATAAAAAATACTGTATTTGAAAATATTATTGCATCTTACGGAACCCAAACAGACTTTTTTTCTTATTATTATTGTGTAAACAATATAGCCTAACAATAATATACATAGCATTTACTTTGTAGTAGGTAATATAAATAATCTAGAGATAAGAACATTTATAGGTTTTACACATATCATACTACTTTACATGAAGGACTTGAATATCTGTGGATTTGGTATTCAGTCTCCATTGGGGGAATGTTCTGCAATCAATTCCCCATGGATACAGAGAGATTTTGGTATTTTTCTACCTACACAGA